GGTAATGGATGAGGTTGGTTAAAACTATAATGACGTAAAAAGAGACAAAATTGACAGTTTTCTTTCTGCAGCTTCATAAAAGAGCTCTTAATAAATGTAGAAATCATTTGTTGATTGATGAGTTTGGCTATAACCATGATAACAAAAAAAGATGAGCAAAGTTGAAGGTTTTCTACATTCTGATGAAAGAGCTTTTGATAAATGTAGAAATCATTTGCTGATTAAAGAGTTTAGTTATAATCATGATAACAAAACAAGAGGTGCAAAATTGACGATTTTCTGCAGTCTGATGAAGGAGATCTTGATAAACGTATAAATCACTTGCGGATTGATGAGTTTGGCAATAACCATGATAACAAAAAAAATGAGCAAAATAGAAAGTTTTCTCTAGCCTCATTAAAAAGCTCTTGGTAAAAGTATAAATCATTTGCTCATTACGGGGTTTGGCTATAACCATGATAACAAAAAAAAAAATAGTAAAATTGAAGGTTTTCTGAAATATGACGATAGAGCTCTTGATAAACGTATTAATCATTAGCTGATTGATTAGTTTGGCTAAAACAATGATAAAGAAGAAAAAAAAAGGAGAAAAATCTCTGGTTTTCTACACCCTGGTGAAAGAGTTTTTGATAAACTTAGAAGTCTTTTGCTGATTGATGAGTTTTGCTATAACCATGATTACAGATAAAGCAGCATAATTGATAGAAGAGCTCTTGATAAACGTACAAATCATTTGTTGATTGAGAAGTTTCAGTTATAATCAAGATAACAGAAAAAGCAACAAAATTGACAGTTTTCTCCAGTCTGATGAAAGAACTCTTGAAAAACGTAATAGTTATTTGTTGATTGATAGTTAATTTTATATAATAATTCAATTATTTGAATATATTATAATAATAATTTAATACATAAACGTAATAAAATGTATTGATAAACGTAGAAATCGTTTGCTAATTGATGAGTTTGGCTATAACAATGATAAATAAAAAATATGAGCAAAACTAATGGTTTTCTGCACTCTCATGAAAAAACTCCTGTTAAACGTAGAAATCGTTTGCTAATTGATGAGTTTGGCTATAACCTTGATAATAAAAAAGGAGTAAAACAGACTGTTTTCTACAATACATATGTAGAAAGAGCTCTGAATAAACGTATAAAGCATTTGCTGATTAATGAGTTTGACTATAAACATGATAACAAAAAAAGAGAGCAAAATTGACGGTTTTCTACCATATGATGAAGAGCTCTTGATAAACGTAAAAATCATTGAATGATTGATGAGTTTGGCAATAACTATGATAACGTAAAAAAGAAAAAATTGACTTTTTTTGCAGCCTCATGAAACAATTCTTGACTTTTTTTGCAGCCTCATGAAAAAGCTCTTGATAAACTTAAAAATTATTTGTTTATGGAGGAGTTTGGCTACATTAATGATAAAAAATAAGCAAAATTGATGGTTTTCTGCAGAGTGATGAAAGAGCTCTTGATAAACGTAAAAATCATTTGGTAATGGATGAGGTTGGTTAAAACTATAATGACGTAAAAAGAGACAAAATTGATAGTTTTCTTTCTGCAGCTTCATAAAAGAGCTCTTAATAAAAGTAGAAATCATTTGTTGATTGATGAGTTTAGCTATAACCATGATAACAAAAAAAGATGAGCAAAGTTGAAGGTTATCTACATTCTGATGAAAGAGCTTTTGATAAATGTAGAAATCATTTGCTGATTAAAGAGTTTAGTTATAATCATGATAACAAAACAAGAGGTGCAAAATTGACGATTTTCTGCAGTCTGATGAAGGAGATCTTGATAAACGTATAAATCACTTGCGGATTGATGAGTTTGGCAATAACCATGATAACAAAAAAAATGAGCAAAATAGAAAGTTTTCTCTAGCCTCATTAAAAAGCTCTTGATAAAAGTATAAATCATTTGCTCATTACGGGGTTTGGCTATAACCATGATAACAAAAAAAAAAAAATAGTAAAATTGAAGGTTTTCTGAAATATGACGATAGAGCTCTTGATAAACGTATAAATCATTAGCTGATTGATTAGTTTGGCTAAAACAATGATAAAGAAGAAAAAAAAAGGGAAAAATCTTGAAAAACGTAATAGTTATTTGTTGATTGATGAGTTTGGCTATAACAATGATAAATAAAAAAAATGAGCAAAACTGAAGGTTTTCTGCACTCTCATGAAAAAACTCTTGATAAACGTAGAAATCGTTTGCTAATTGATGAGTTTGGCTATAACCTTGATAATAAAAAAGGAGTAAAATAGACTGTTTTCTACAATACATATGTAGAAAGAGCTCTGAATAAACGTAGAAAGCATTTGCTGATTAACGAGTTTGACTATAAACATGATAGCAAACAAAAAGAGCAAAATTGACGGTTTTCTACCATATGATGAAGAGCTCTTGATAAACGTAAAAATCATTGAATGATTGATGAGTTTGGCTATAACTATGATAAAGTAAAAGAAGAAAAAATTGACTTTTTTTGCAGCCTCATGAAAAAATTCTTGACTTTTTTTGCAGCCTCATGAAAAAGCTCTTGATAAACTTAAAAATTATTTGTTTATGGAGGAGTTTGGCAACATTAATGATGAAAAGTAAGCAAAATTGACGGTTTTCTGCAGAGTGATGAAAGAGCTTTTGATAAACGTAAAAATCATTTGGTAATGGATGAGTTTGGTTAAAACTATAATGACGTAAAAAGAGACAAAAATGACAGTTTTCTTTCTGCAGCTTCATAAAAGAGCTCTTAATAAATGTAGAAATCATTTGTTGATTGATGAGTTTGGCTATAACCATGATAACAAAAAAAAGATGAGCAAATTTGAAGGTTTTCTACATTCTG